GGGTAAACCCGGCAATGGAGACCACAGAAAGCTCCATTATGACCAATGTCTGCACGAGATGGCTCCCATCGAGTATGGTACGCTATGCGAGACACAGCACCCTACTTATTCCAGTTTTACATCTGACGGTCTTAGATACAAGTATCCTCGGAATAAACCACGAGTGCGAAATGTGCCACATTTTGACAATAGGGTTTGGAGGCTACCCTTTTCGCCGCAGGTCTTATAGATTGGTTGTATTGACACCATGGCTAACTCCAATCTACACCCCCTCTAGCCCTTAGCCACCCCAGTCGCCCTAGCCCCCCCCCTTCCCCACCGTATACCCCCCTCCCCCAAAGGAGCCTCGACATTTCAACAAGTCCTCCACTCGTATAGCGTTTTCTGTATCCCCCCCCCCATGCCTGTCGCTATAGTAACTCATTTAATCTAGTTTGAACCAGATAAATGGATAGTAGATGCTTGTTAGCAGTGACATACCCCAATAACACAGTCCAAGGCCTAGTCCCAACTTCGACCCCGTAGGGACTCCATCACTTTACCTTTAGAACTGCTCAAGGGAGACCGAAGCGCAGGCCCACAGCTCTCCTACTTATTTGGGACAAACAACGGCGACCCCTGATGATCACCTGAATACTAAGTTTGCCAATTCAAAGACCCCCATATTTTCCACCGACCATGTATTGGGCCTTCTCCGGTCATCTGCCCCTTCTAGGACCCAAAGGCTCCTCTCTGAGTTGTATTTACGGGGCTGTCAACATTAATCGCGTAAACTCACGACGTTCAATTACCATTTTTTAAACATTACCACGCGTTATTTTTTTTTAACCGCCATTAACGCCTGGTCCGAATGACCGCCGCCCATTTTAATCCCATTACGCACTATCACTCAGAAGGCTGCGTGTGACGATGGCCTCCTCCGTCAGGGCCGCACTGGTTGTATGTTTCGCGGCTGGAGAGAGCAGTGCCCGAATTTACGCGGGCTGCCAAGCCATGGCACTAGCCTACATCTACATAACCGATCAGCCAGCGATTTTGCTACCGTTTCACCTACACCGTCCGCTCATGCTACTGTATTTTTCCCTGGATCCTAGACTCTCAGGCGCGCTCTGCGTTACTGACAATTTCCCTGGTTCATGTCAGCCTAGGGCATCAACTCAGCCGTCGTCTATTATCCCAGGTTCAAGAACTGACAGGCGCGCTGTGTTGCTCGTGTGTGTCCCAGATGGGACCTACTTCATTTACAATAGTCTCTTTCCATATTGACCATTTTGCAATGTGATAGTATTGCATCAATGGATAACACATAAAAGCCAATTTACTTTTCAAGGCTACCTTGGCCAGTCTTCTACCAGTTGGCCTGCAGGGACAGTTTCCCTAAAACTAACACCATTCTTATACCCGAAAATTCGGGTAGGGGATGTAGCCACCATATAATTACTTATGACGTTCACCCCTTCAATTCCGCCCCGCTCACCACCGTACCAACCAAACGCCACAAGATTATCGTCCATACGATCCATGTTCACTGGTAAAAGATACTTTTATAGTGGCGAAACTCCTTTATGTACAGTCCCCTTATTATAGGAAGACACACGTCCATGCGTCACTCTCCACTACAATATCTTATTTCAATGTACCTTACCCCCCCCCCCTGGTCTAAAAATATAGATACTCTCCTATAAACATTCCCAATGGAGTGGCATATATTCTCATTTATTTCAACCGATGATGATGTAGAGGAGCAACCACCCCCCCCCACCCCATTACAGAACAAAGCGCTTAACCCACTTATATCTGCCCCCGAGTTTGGGACCGTACCTTATGACACAGTCCAACGTTTCTAGTTCCTATATCTTACCCAACCCCACCACGAACTAGCTTTATCCTGGAACACCCCCTCTAACGTCCACGAACCCACGAACCAGACCTTCTAGCGGAACATTTTTGAATGGATTGTGGACGCGTATTACGCTGGCCTGTCCCTTTCGGAACTAACACCGTCGCTTAATTGTTGCAAACCAACCCCCAACCAAATATTAGGATTTGATCTTGTTTTAGTATTTAGGGACCCGACCCTGCGGCCCCAGGTTTCCGACCGGCCCTAGGAGCCCCATAATACCTTAAATTGCTTTATTTTTACACCCAATGATAAACCCAACACCCAATTGCCCATTTAGCACTAGCGAGGGCCTAACATTTATCACATACTTAGTATACCCCCACAGCACCCAGAAGCACCCTCGCGCAGCAAGACACGCACCCGGAACAAACCGTCACGCGCTTCTTCTGCCCGACCAGAACCGGGAACATTACCGTACGCCCCGAGGGCCCTGCAGACCACAGCTCCCCCGGGAACCCTACCCCCCAGTAGCCAGCGCGAGAGTAATGAGCAGGAGCCAATCGCTTGCCTGAGTTATTTCTACATAGGAACGATCATGCTTGCCGCCCCCCTGCGTAACATCTTGCCCTCAATTCCAGCCGCCACCCCCCACCCCGGGGCCACCGGCGGCGGCATATATCACCCCCGCAGCAATCTGCGTGAATATTCCTACAGGATCCATAGGTCGGGTCATCCGGACCTACGATACAGCGTTTAAAAATAAATAACGCGTTAATGAAAAATGTAATTAACGTGAGTTAACGCGATAATTTTGACAGCCCTAAAAAAAACACATAGAGCCATTGGTCCATAAGGGGCAGATGACCGAGAAGTCCAAACATGTCGGTGAAAATGTCTATGAATTGGCAAACTAGTATACAGGTGAAATCAGGGGTCTCCGTTTTACCCAAAAAGAGATACTTTTGCAGCGCTTCTCCATTGAGCAGTTCAAAAGAAAGTGAGTCACTACTGTAGAATTGTGACATGCCTTGGACTGTTTTATGGGTATGTCACTGCAACAATCATCTACTATCCATTTATCAGGGCAAAAAGTTAAATATTTACAATAGCTACAGGCATTGGCAACATAAAACTCTAAATATTGAGGACTGTTTTGAAATGTCTAGCTCCTTTGGGGGGGGGTAACTTTGAAGGGGGGGGGCTAGCTACTGGTGGCTAAGGGCTATAGGTTGGGTTAGATTGGATTATGCCATGTCCAGTACAACCAATGCAATAATGACAGCGCTAAAAGGTATCCACCAAACCCAAATTCAAAATTGCACATTCGCACTCTTGATTATTCCGAGAAACATGAAACAAAGACCTTGACAGATGTAAACTGTAATAATAATGTGTTCTTTGTCACGGCTTATCTTACCAAACCACTATGACTCATACGATCAGGACATTTTTCATAAAGAGCTATTCTTTGTCCTCCATTTCCTGGTTACACACACACACAGACACACACACACACACACACACACACACACTCTCACCCGTGGACAAATAAACAGTCGCAGCAGTGCCGAGCTGAGGAATGACAGATGTCTGCAGCTGGAAGGCCAGGCATGCCAAAACTTCCTGCCTGTCCCCCTTTACTGCCTGCTCCACCAGTCAGAGCTACACACACATACAGTGCCCAACAAAGCACACTTCACCTTCAGAAAATGGCAAAACACCACTTCAAACTATGATTTAAATGTGAAAATCGGAGTATCTTTGTGTGTGCCATCAGTCCCAGAGGTGCATTGCGTCATTCAAAGCAGCCGTCAAATACATTTTTCGGGAGTTTCTAGATGAATGGTTAAAAACATAGCAAAAAAATATGGTATTGCGTTTCTTGTGTTTCCCTCAACATGGAAGTAAACATGTCCATCTCCACGCAAAGACAACGAAACAAGCAAAAATGGACTAAGGAACATATTTGTCAGAATGTGCAGTATGGAACCCCATGTGTCCACTGTCTGGCAAACTAAGGCTCATGAGCCAAATCCGGCCCGCAAGACAATTTTTAGTGGCCCCTAAAATTATTTGCAATTATTAATGCTGTCAAAATGTCTTCATAATGGAAAAACAATTATGAAAAAATGAAATCCCTTCTATTCTTTTGGTCCTATTTTCGTTATGACCAAATTGAGAAACCTCTGCCTTACTCGGTCACTTTGCTCAGACCCTCGAGCTGCTAACATGTACAGATAAACAAACAAGTATATTTCTTGCATTAGAATATACAGTTTTTTATACTTTCTTCTTTATTAGACTTTACACTTACTTCATAATATGCTAAAGCTAGAGATTTAGTATTAAGTTTTTGTTAATTTATCTTGTGTTGTGTGCTCCTCTTTCCTACTGTTCTATAACCGGTGATGCAACGCTGAAATTTCCCCACTGTGGGACGAATAAAGAATTGCTTAATCAGGTATTTAATCCGGTTTTTCTGGTTGTGAATTTACAACAAACTCATCCACAACTGGAAACATTGGCTGCTGGCTCCGAAAATATATTCAGTAGTTATTGTTGTTTTGGCTGGTTCTGGGAAAGCTCTGTAGAAAAGGCAGTTTGGCCTCATAAATAATGAATAACACCGTTTTTATTGGAATTCATAAAAAACAAACAGGAGGCTATGGATCATTATCACACAAGAAAAGACAGGGGAAAAAACCGTGGTTTGGACTTGGCATGTAAAATTCTCATCGCCGTGGGTTACCTGCTCAAACACTGCCCAGCCCTGTTCGTCCCCACTCTACAGACCTACTTTTGAAAGCGCTAATGTTTTGAGACGTTTAAGTCACAATTTGAAGCTGGGAAATTAACGGTGCAGTTATGGCGGTGGGTGTAGAGTTTGTGCTGTGCTCAGGTGCTCGTCTCTTTGGATTTATAAATACTTCCATAGAATGCTGCACTAAATTTATCCCAATCTTATGGCTGCAAATCACGACTATATTTACCTCCGTCTTTTGTAGACACAGAGTCACATCCTGTCTCGATATCTTCTCTCAAATCTGTAAATCCCAGTAGTTTAGTCCATGTTTCAAATGTGTTTAGTCCGGTTCAAATTTCAGCCAATGTCAATGTCTCCAATACAGGGGTGGGCAATTGTTTTCTTTGGGGGGGCCACATTGGAATATACTGTAGCCATATTGTGGAGGGCCGGACCTAATTTCATGTGGTTCATTTTGTATATATTTTATCCAAAAGCTAACTATTATTGCAAAAAAACATTTTGGATTAATTAATGAGAACAGATTGAGTATTTCATTGAGAATTTACTCCTGATTTATATTAAAAAGCAACAAACATGAGGTTTACAGCTAGGGTCTGGGGGCCGTATAGAAATGAGGATCGGGCCGGTTGTGGCTCCCGGACCACACTTTGCCCAGGTCAACTCTAAAACCAGGAATTCTGCCACAAATAGGGTCAAAGACTATGACATCATGGACAGAGCTTAAAATGACGTGCCTTAAAACTATGTGCACTGTCCTCATTTACATTACACCATGGATGATAGATACCATGAGTGGAGATAGATGAGAGTTTTTCACTAATCCATAACTTTTCTTTATTTTGTCTAGGACTGTGTACAATATTAGTTTGACCAAAAATGGAAAGCCTTGGACCAGGTAATATCAAAACTGCTTATTTCCACCCACTGTCACTTTGGCTAAATTTAACTAAATGTATGTCTAACCATGTGGCAGGAGGCAGGAATGCTGGTGTGTACTATCGTCTCTGTCTGGTGCACACTGGGGTAGTCTTGCACAGTTTTCCCAATGTGGTTTTACTGCAAATGGCAAATACATTCTTGAATCTTGAATATGTTTTCTGCTTAAGAAAACATTTCACATCCTAAAAAATGAAATGATAAGTAAAAATTATCAAGATCATGTGAAGCCAAAATTATTGCAATATATAGAAGTTTCTCTATGGCCCAAAGAAAAGGGCAAATCTTGGAGTATGCCGAACTACGGAGAGGCCATTTTGCTTATGGTAATATTCAAGCCACGGTCACAATCGTGTAAATAATGGATTTATATGGAATTATTTGGAGTCTTGTGTTGTTTACCTCAAACTCCATCACATCCAGTCATACACAGACAACTAACTTGTCTTAAAAATAGCAAAGCAATGACTAAAAGCACGAGCAGCTTTCATAAGTACATCTGACCTCAATAAAAAAAATCTGTGCGACATCACAAAAAGAGCCCAAAGGTGTAGCACAAGACTTCAAAACAGAGTGTCTCATTAGCAATATCGCTACAGCACGACGCTAATTTTAACAAGTTGCATCACACACTTTCTCTTTCCAACTCTGCTGACATACTTCCCAATGAATCACACTTACAGTAAGTCACTATGCGCTGAAGTCATTTGACATCACTTCCCAAAAACAAAAAAAGTCGGTCCGAGCTTTCCGCCCCTCCCACCCCTGGCCTCCCCTCTGCCTCCCCTCTCCCTCCCCTCTGCCTCCCCTCTGCCTCCCCTCTCCCTCCCCTCTGCCTCCCCTCTGCCTCCCCTCTCCCTCCCCTCTGCCTCCCCTCTGCCTCCCCTCTGCCTCCCCTCTCCCTCCCCTCTCCCTCCCCTCTGCCTCCCCTCTGCCTCCCCTCTGCCTCCCCTCTCCCTCCCCTCTGCCTCCCCTCTGCCTCCCCTCTGCCTCCCCTCTCCCTCCCCTCTGCCTCCCCTCTGCCTCCCCTCTGCCTCCCCTCTCCCTCCCCTCTGCCTCCCCTCTGCCTCCCCTCTCCCTCCCCTCTGCCTCGCCTCTCCCTCCCCTCTGCCTCCCCTCTGCCTCCCCTCTGCCTCGCCTCTGCCTCGCCTCTCCCTCCCCTCTGCCTCCCCTCTGCCTCCCCTCTGCCTCCCCTCTGCCTCCCCTCTGCCTCCCCTCTGCCTCCCCTCTCCCTCCCCTCTGCCTCCCCTCTGCCTCCCCTCTGCCTCGCCTCTGCCTCGCCTCTCCCTCCCCTCTGCCTCCCCTCTGCCTCCCCTCTGCCTCCCCTCTCCCTCCCCTCTGCCTCCCCTCTCCCTCCCCTCTGCCTCCCCTCTGCCTCCCCTCTGCCTCCCCTCTCCCTCCCCTCTCCCTCCCCTCTGCCTCCCCTCTGCCTCCCCTCTCCCTCCCCTCTGCCTCGCTCTCTCCCTCCCCTCTGCCTCCCCTCTGCCTCCCCTCTGCCTCCCCTCTCCCTCCCCTCTGCCTCCCCTCTGCCTCCCCTCTCCCTCCCCTCTGCCTCCCCTCTCCCTCCCCTCTGCCTCCCCTCTGCCTCCCCTCTGCCTCCCCTCTCCCTCCCCTCTGCCTCCCCTCTGCCTCCCCTCTGCCTCCCCTCTGCCTCCCCTCTCCCTCCCCTCTGCCTCCCCTCTGCCTCCCCTCTGCCTCCCCTCTCCCTCCCCTCTGCCTCCCCTCTGCCTCCCCTCTGCCTCCCCTCTCCCTCCCCTCTGCCTCCCCTCTGCCTCCCCTCTCCCTCCCCTCTGCCTCGCCTCTGCCTCGCCTCTGCCTCCCCTCTGCCTCCCCTCTGCCTCCCCTCTCCCTCCCCTCTGCCTCGCCTCTCCCTCCCCTCTGCCTCCCCTCTCCCTCCCCTCTCCCTCCCCTCTGCCTCCCCTCTGCCTCCCCTCTCCCTCCCCTCTGCCTCGCCTCTCCCTCCCCTCTGCCTCCCCTCTGCCTCCCCTCTGCCTCGCCTCTGCCTCGCCTCTGCCTCGCCTCTGCCTCGCCTCTGCCTCGCCTCTGCCTCCCCTCTGCCTCCCCTCTGCCTCCCCTCTGCCTCCCCTCTCCCTCCCCTCTGCCTCCCCTCTGCCTCCCCTCTCCCTCCCCTCTGCCTCCCCTCTGCCTCCCCTCTCCCTCCCCTCTGCCTCGCCTCTCCCTCCCCTCTGCCTCCCCTCTGCCTCCCCTCTGCCTCGCCTCTGCCTCGCCTCTCCCTCCCCTCTGCCTCCCCTCTGCCTCCCCTCTGCCTCCCCTCTGCCTCCCCTCTGCCTCCCCTCTCCCCCCCTCTGCCTCCCCTCTGCCTCCCCTCTGCCTCGCCTCTGCCTCGCCTCTCCCTCCCCTCTGCCTCCCCTCTGCCTCCCCTCTGCCTCCCCTCTGCCTCCCCTCTGCCTCCCCTCTCCCTCCCCTCTGCCTCCCCTCTCCCTCCCCTCTGCCTCCCCTCTGCCTCCCCTCTGCCTCCCCTCTGCCTCCCCTCTCCCTCCCCTCTGCCTCCCCTCTCCCTCCCCTCTGCCTCCCCTCTGCCTCCCCTCTGCCTCCCCTCTCCCTCCCCTCTGCCTCCCCTATGCCTCCCCTCTGCCTCCCCTCTCCCTCCCCTCTGCCTCCCCTCTCCCTCCCCTCTGCCTCGCCTCTCCCTCCCCTCTGCCTCCCCTCTGCCTCCCCTCTGCCTCCCCTCTGCCTCCCCTCTGCCTCCCCTCTGCCTCCCCTCTGCCTCCCCTCTGCCTCCCCTCTGCCTCCCCTCTGCCTCCCCTCTGCCTCCCCTCTGCCTCCCCTCTGCCTCCCCTCTGCCTCCCCTCCATCATCAGTCTCATCACTATAGCTCGGGCCAGGACAGCTGCATGTACCCCCTGCCCTTCTCCCCCTCCCCTTCTCTTCCCAAGCCTCGCAACTACATAAAAAGGTGTTTTGGAAGGATGAAAACGTGGAGAAATTCACAGACGGTGCAAGTAATAAAAAGGTAATGCTCCATCTGTTGGCTTCGGTGTAACCCGATGGCCGTAAAGGACAGGTTTTGGCATAAGCGCTCGGAGAGAAAAGGGGGGCGAGGGAGACAGTTTTGTGAGCGAGGGGGAGGAACAATGATACAAAGACATAAAGAAAGGCCTTGTCATCATAAGTCCAGGTACAGGGCTGGACTTCCTCAAGCCAAAACCGCTGCGAGAGAAAAACAGGAAGTGGTGAGTGACAGTAGAAATAACAGGTTTGATTCATGGCACTTCTGACTAACTGTAAAACAACTTAATATAGTTGCCATTGTGTAATTGACAGACTCAAATTTCCAGTCAGAGTAATAAATCTCCAACTGTGGAATATTACGGCTGTCTTGACTCCCATAAATATATTACTTTTGTGATGTAGTAGTGCTGTATTATTTCTAAAGCCACTGGAAAATCAAAAGAGTCCAAATGCAGAGGGCGACGGCAAACATGCACGACCATAAATAATAATATGGACTTTGCGGAGCTTGTTCTGACGTGAGGGTCACCAAATCCCCTTGAAACTAAAGCTGGGGTGCCTGACTTTCAAACCACACAAGTTTAATCTCTGTAATAAAATCCATGACACTACAGTTCCCAGCTCTATCTTTAGTTTTCCATGCAGGTATATATATATATATATTTATGGCCTCTCTTACATCTATAGATCAGCTTTTTTTTAGACCGAAAAGTGGAAAAGAGCCCCAAAGCATCAAAAAGTGACTCGCAGGGCTCTATTATGATGAAATAATGTGAGTTTGTTGTGGTCAGATTTGTTCAATAGACTCTTTCCTTCAGGACAAAGATCACGTGCATCTATGAAACAGACAAAAAGTTACACACCCGAGCTTTAAAGCCCATTACCGTACACACTATTGAGGCTTCATATGAATATTGGGTCTTCTTGGGCTAGAAACTCGTAAAATTAGAATATCGTTCAAAAGTAATTTCTTATCTGTATATTGACTTAAAAAGTGAAACCAAAAATAACCTAGACCTATGACATAATGACACAAACCAAGCCTTTTTAATAATTTTGAAGATTCTTATTCTTATATGAGGTTTCTTATATGAGCCAAAATTATCAAAATTATAGAAAACTAGAAACTTGCAATGGCTGAAGCCATTGCGATTGACTGCGGAACAGATCTAATGTGGAAATCTGCTAAAAAAAATCCTTGAAATCCTTTAAAAGGCCTTGAAACTGTTAAAATACTTGATAGATATTTGAAACTCCTGAAGTCCTTGAAATTGTTGAAACCTTTAAACTCCTGAAATCCTTGAAACTGTTGAAACATTGAAACTCCTGAAATCCTTGAAACTTTTTTTAAACCTGGAAACTGTTGAAAGTGTGGAAACTCCTGAAATCCTTGAACCTCCTGATATCCTTGAAACTGGTTAAATTCTTAAACAGTTGAAATCCTTGAAACTACTGAATGTATTGAAAGTGTCCTTGAAACTGAAAAATCCCCTCACCGCTGAAACAATTTGGTTCCTGTAACTAAGGAAACCTGGTCTGTGGTCATTATCTGGTGGTGGTCTGAGTCTTCGTTTGGGTCTTGGTCTGGTGGTATAATGCAACCTATTAGGTTGCATTATACTGGTTTACATGGAAAAATCCCTATTAGGTTGCATTATACTGGTTTACATGGAAAAATCCCTATTAGGTTGCATTATACTGGTTTACATGGAAAAATCCCTATTAAGTTGCATTATACTGGTTTACATGGAAAAATCTCTATTAAGTTGCATTATACTGGTTTACATGGAAAAATCCCTATTAGGTTGCATTATACTGGTTTACATGTACAAATCCCTATTAAGTTGCTTTATACTGGTTTACATGTAAAAACCCCTATTAGGTTACATTATAGTGGTTTACATGTAAAAATCCTTATTAAGTTGCATTATACTGGTTTACATGTAAAAACCCCTATTAAGTTCCATTATACTGGTTTACATGTAAAAACCCCTATTAAGTTCCATTATACTGGTTTACATGTAAAAACCCTATTAAGTTGCATTATACTGGTTTACATGGAAAAATCCCTATTAAGTTGCATAATACTGGTTTACATGGAAAAATCCCCATTAAGTTGCATTATACTGGTTTACATGAAAAAAACCCTATTAAGTTGCATTATACTGGTTTACAAGGAAAAATCCCTATTAAGTTGCATTATACTGGTTTACATGGAAAAATCCCTATTAAGTTGCATAATACTGGTTTACATGGAAAAATCCCCATTAAGTTGCATTATACTGGTTTACATGTAAAAAACCCTATTAAGTTGCATTATACTGGTTTACATGGAAAAATCCCTATTAAGTTGCATTGTACTGGTTTACATGGAAAAAACCCTATTAAGTTGCATTATACTGGTTTACATGGAAAAAACCCTATTAAGTTGCATTATACTGGTTTACATGGAAAAAACCCTATTAAGTTGCATTATACTGGTTTACATGTAAAAACCCCTATTAAGTTGCATTATACTGGTTTACATGGAAAAATCCCCATTAAGTTGCATTATACTGGTTTACATGAAAAAAAACCCTATTAAGTTGCATTATACTGGTTTACATGAAAAAACCCTATTAAGTTGCATTATACTGGTTTACATGGAAAAATCCCTATTAAGTTGCATTATACTGGTTTACATGGAAAAATCCCTATTAGGTTGCATGATTACACTGAAGTCCTTGAAACTGCTGAAGTCCTTGAAACTGCTGAAGTCCTTGAAACTGTTGAAGTCCTTGAAACTCTTGAAATCTTGAAACTGCTGAAATCCTTGAAACTGTTGAATCCTTGAAACTGTTGAATCATTGAAACTGTAGAAATGTCTGAAAGAGCTGAAGTCCTATTAAAATGCATGGGCCTATTAAAATGCATTGCAGAATTCTCAATGCAGATTTTTGTCCGATTGCGGAAAAACCGGAAATCGCTGAAGTCCCAAAAGTAATAGCAATAATCTCCCAAACATGTGGAACGTTTTGATGTATAACTTGTGGAAATTGTTGAAAATGTGAAAGCTGTGAAACGTGTCAAAAAAAATGACGGAATAAAGAAATACAAAACCAATGGTTGACTGCGGAAGGTTCCGCAGTCAATCAATAAAGGCTGTTCTGCTGCTGGACCCCTGGATTTCTTTAGGGGATTCATAAAGTATCTATCTATATGTGACTTTGTAATCATAATAAATCAATCATATCAGTTCCACATTACAAGATGAAATACAAAAATGAATGGACTTTTTAACAATTATTTTGAGTTTTATTATTCGGAGACAAAGCATTTCAGTTGTCTGTGCCCCTGTCTTTGTAAAAACATTGGTAAAATACATACATTCAGCTTATTCAGTATACATTAAATATTTTGTTCTTGCTTCTTTATTATTCTAAAGATAGAGACTTTATACTTACTTCTCATTTTGCTAAAGTTGGAGATTTGCTTCCTTATTAGTTAGAGATTTAGTTTTATTCTATAGAGATATTGTTCATTTCTGTTGTGTCCTGTGCTCCTACCTCCTACTGTTCTGTAACCGGTGATGCAACACTGACATTTCCCCCCACTGTAGGACAAACAAAGAATCTAGAAAATCTTATCTTAAAGGTGCAGTAAGCGGTGTTGTTAGCTTAGCCGTAGCCGCAACTCCAAACCACTCCCCCCTCCCCTCCCTCTCCACCAAACCAAACATCCAGCATTTTCTTCTCTTTGTCACAACAGGAGAGTGAGCGGCAAACGTGAAATTGGCATTTTCTGTTCAGCCATTTTAGGTTTTAAAGAATCCGATAACTCAGGTGCACTCGCGAGAAACAGGAAGAGGGTGAAGGGGGTGAACACATCCCATTGGTTTAAAAAAATTAGTAACAAAAAAGTGAGTTTTGACTTTCCAGGTAAAAGGCAAATTGTGAATATATTAGAAAATCAAAAAACCCAAGGCACTCGTGGTCGAAAGTTTAAAAAGCCTTTATTTTCTCATGGCTGTAGATTAAAATATGCACCAACGCGTTTCAGGCTAGCGTCCCATTGGTTCGTTGGGAATGAACGAATCCCATTGGTTTGTTTTTATCGATCCGTTCCAAAATATGTTTTATTAATTTTGTAGACTACATGTGGTCAATTCCATTACTATTTGAAAACACGTGATAACTTGACTATGTTTAGGGTTTAGGGACATTTTCCCACGAAATTTAAACAAATGCATCTGGATAAAAATCACCGACTGTATCTTTAATATATCTGTGACTTTACCGGTCTGACGCTAGCACCCGGGAGCCTCACCTCACCCACGTTTAGCCCGTTGTCGTACACGTGTCTAACCTCTTGTCTATCGCCGACTTCCTGCTGCCGCTGCTTCTCCGTTCCTCCCACCAGAGGAGAGGAGGAGACCGGGGGGAGGTCCAGAGCAGGGCAATCTCTAAATAAGTTCCATTAATCACAGGCCAAAGTCTAATGTAACTAATATTTTACAATTAGAGGAGACAGCAGTGGGCTTTGTGCAATCCATCTCCCCACCGCACCACGCCGCGGCTCCGACCACAGCTCTACAAGTGAACGCAGTGATGGGCGGCAGAAAAAAAACAACCGGCAAATACACAGTAACAAATTATTCTCACTGGCTGCAGAGACTTTTTTGAGAGATGCGAGAAATACGAGCGAGTGGGACAATCGCAGAGGCTGAGAGAAATATACACGCCGTCAGACAATCAAGACAGGCCGTAAAGAATGTGGCAACAGTGAGCAGCAACTGTCATAAAGCTTTACTAGGCCTTCACTTTTTTATGTCCCTGGGGAGAAATGTCAAAATATAAAACAATTAAATGTAGTAACAGGGTTTCCAGATGTGGGTAAACACGCGCGTTCCCAGTGTGTTTGGTTGATGAGCAATAATGTGATGTGTTAATAATGAATGGTTTAATGGACAGAGAGAAGCTTTTATGGAAAATGAATCAAAGAGTGAAGCTAAAAAGGGAATTTATAAATGGCGTCAACACACCCGGTCGCCGAAATGAGATTTTTTTTTCGCCCTGACAACAGGTAATTTCATAGTCAGGATAGAGTTAGGACTAGGGTAGGATTAAGAACATAACATTTGGTTTGACAGTATAGACCGTAGATATGACAAACTACTATCACTCATGGTGTGCAAAAAGACGGAAATGTAAACCCAAGTTAAAACGTGAAAAATATCTCTTTCATGCAAGGTATTTTATATACAATTAAAATTAAAATGCTGATGTCACCAATGGAGGCTAACTCAAACAGGCTCTGAACTACCTAGCAACCAACGAACCAATCAGGAGAGGCGCTGGTCGTTCCCGCTCACTCTGCCGCTAGCTCAAGCCAAATTCAGGAACAGAAGGAACCTGATTGGTCGGTTGTTCGGCCTCATATCAGGATTTACAAAGACTTTATCCAAATGAAAACACAAGGGCCGTACATACAGTTGAACCATTTTTAAGCCCAAAATAATGACGCAAAAACAGTTACAGAGTGAGTTGACTTTTAGATGTAGATGAATGGGAGCCAAAGGACGTAGCAGCAAAACTATCCATGTCCATATTAGACCTCCCATAGCAGGTTAGCATTGTCCATTTCTATATACAGTTTGGGTGCTAACTGGGTCTTGACAGAACCGGTTTAAGAGCTGAGAGCTCTGTTTTATGTTTTTTTTTTTCTTAATTCATTCTGAAAGTGTATTGTTAGTTTCTGTGCAACATGTAACTGGTTAAACTTAAACACGATTATGTATTCTTCAGGCATATTTCAGTTCATTTGTTAAATTATTATCGCATCATTAGCCTCCTCCACGGTGCGACGTCACAACAATAGCTTATTTGTGCTAAAACCGTTTAGTCATGATAAAAAAAAAAACTCGAGCCCATCCGCTTGTGTGTCTGTCAACTGTGTGCACCTGTGTGTGTTTGCTCCCATGAGCGAGAGTGTGCGTCTTGTGGCGAGACTCAGGGCAGATAATAATGGCCATGATGATACTAAAGCCTGCTATGGTCTCTGGATGGGACAAGCAGGAGGGAGGGGGGAGGTGGGGGGGCTACGGGCTACATGGTGACGGATGACCAGGACCCTCTCTCTGATGGCGGCCGGACAGTGAGTGATGAGCACACATACACACGGTCCCACCCTGCGTTCTGTCTATGGGCACAAAGGGGGGGGGAGACAGGCCACGCTGTTGCCCCTTCCCTGCCCCTTTCCGTGACATCTGCTCGCGGATCACTCTTTCACCCCTTGCGTTTCTCTCCATCCATCTCCATCTCCATCTCCATCTCCATCCACGGCCATCTCTTCTCTGCCCCGGCTTTTTTTTCTCTGCAGCCAAGGCTAGGCAGAGGTCACACAATGAGATAATGACTAACCCCTTTCAACCTTTCAAATCGGACTCTTTTCTCCCCTCCTCAATGTGCTTTTTCACTCCTGGTGCTTTTCTCTGTATCGATTTTCTCGTGTTCAGTTGTTCTCATGCGCCTCAAAGGTCTCACATGAAAGGGCTGCTGGTTTAGTGAACTGTTTAACCAGTTCAAGTTGGAATACATTACAAGCCCCCCACACACAAATATTGTTTGTTGTCAAATGGTTTGTATTGGTCTAGTCTTTTGAGTTAAAAAGACCAAACAGTTTCTAACTTTAAAAAATATGTTTGCAATTGTAAATGAGCTCTTCAAAAGTAATTTAATTCACGCTACAAAAAGGTTCTGAAAAATAAGTCACAAAAGCATACTGTAATTTCAGCACATTTTGACAAGATTTGCCAATGGGAGAAAGCAAAATTATCTTGTTTTAAAAAGATGAAAGAAATTGTAGATTCAAACTGAAAGCATCAATAATATGAATGAACTCATGTGGAATTATGTACGTCCGAAAAAAAAGTTATGAACCAAGTGAAAATATGTGTTATATTCTGGTTCTTCAAAGTAGCACATTTTGCTCTGATTCTGCTTCACTCTTGGCATTCTCTGGATGAGCTTCAAGAGGACCTGAAATGGTCTTCAACAGTCTTGAAGGAGTTCCCATGATGCTCAGCACTTGTTGGCCCCTTCACTCTGTGGTCCAGCCCCAAAACCACCTGGACTGGGTTCAGGTCCGGTGACTGTGGAGGTCATGTGGCCCAGCACCATCACTCTCCTTATTGATCAAACAGCCCTTACACAGCCTCGTGTGGATCTACAGCAATAGTCATGAAAAGAACTCAGTGAAGGAGAAAGGGTGTCCAAACATATATAAAGGTTAAAGAAAACAAATGAAAACTACATGAAACTCCAATTATAAAATAGTTAAAAGGTTCATTCATGTTTGTAAATCACTTTTTTCTTTGAATTTAATCCAAAGCATGACATGGACCATTATGGAAGTGACACATGCCTCTGTTTTCATTCTGATGGTTACTGCTTAGTCTATTTTAATAGTTTTATCATTTCCTGACATGTTTTCATTTAGATGTTTTCCGAGCTGTGAGCCAATGAGCAACAACATAACAGATAAAAGCTTGATCTTTCTCATTTCTATGCTTACATAAGTGGAATTACAGAGATAAATGGATTATTCTAATTTCCCCAGTCTCACTTAAATACTTTGTATAATTTTAAAGCATGTCAGGCACCTACACGTATATTTAAGCCTGTTTAGTTTTAGGCTGAAACAGGGTTCTAATAGGTGTATGTATATGTTTAGTGTTGTCTTGTGTCGTTAGCTATTGCTGCACATCATTCTTAACATTCTCATCGGTCCAAACTTGACAAGATAAATACCCAGAGACATGTGGCTGTCAATCTGCACAGTCACCAACATGGATTCACTCAAAAACATTACAATAACATTTTTTTTCAGACTCTTGCAGTTTGGACTGTTGTAAAAGCAAAAGCTAAGTGCATCCATAATGGTTTCCAGCCACACTATTCTCTAGGTGCTCATTGCGCCTCATAACAAAGACAGATAGACTGCATTAAAGAAAAACTAGAAAAAATATATGTATCTGGGCCGAAGGATCTTCATTTTCTGTTTGTTATCTTCAGAGGATGATTTTTGATTAATTATAAATGTAAATTTCTCCTGCGTGAGATCAATAAAGTCCATCTTATCTTATCTTATAAATGATTATTCCATACTCTTTCAAGACAACAGCAAGACAATATCGGCACATATATAACATATAAACATATTTGTATAGTCTGAAGGCTGTAGATGTGAGCGCCCGTGTCACATTGTGTTAAACCAGGGTTAGTTCTACACATAGAGAGGTCTTAAACAAGATTAACAGGAATAACAAAATATACTTGAGAAATCAGAAACCTTTAGTGGAGCAGACTTTAAGTAATTATGAAGGTAACCAGGTTTTGAATAGGACCACGGTAAAAACCCTATTTGAGTCTGATCCCTAAAGGACTCTAAAATGAATGAAATACTCAGTTGCTACAGATTTTAAGGAGACATTTTCAAATCCACAAAATGTAAATGTGGGTTTTTGAAAGGCTGTGATCTTAAACAATTGCTTAGTGAACCAAAAATAAGATTAAGAAAATAAGGTTACATTTATCTCAATTTTAAAACAGTATTTGCCATTGGAACTAGAAAAAATATCTTGCTTTTTAAGAGAAAATATTCACTTGCAATGGGAAAACAATTTCAATTTCCCTTTGAAAATACATGCTTGTTCCAGTCGCAAATCTAGTTTTAAGACAGTGAAGTATTTACTTTAAATTTAAAATGTGTTGCACCGTGAGCTGTTGTCTTCCTGCTACTTTCAATGACAATACAATAACTCTGATTCAAGAATGTGCTACTAATATTCTTACTTATTCATGCCACGCGTCTGCCATGGCCTTAATAAATATAATGTGAGATGTTGAAAAGGCCTTTGTAGAGATCGTATGTGTATCATTTGGAAGCGCCAGCATAAAATTGAAAGTGACACACAACAATGTAACTTCTGCCCTACAGCGCGCAGCCGTGGTGAACACTGCCCTCTCGTGGCGATGCTGCGTCAGTGCATGTTCAGTCAGCTGCATACAGTCGGATGCTCAGGGAGAATAATGAGCATGCAGACAGGTTCAAGCCGAGGTCACCATCTGGCCAATTACCTCTGCTGCCACATTAGTACCGACCTGGGCTGTCAACGCAGACACATCACTCCATGTCCAAACTGCCCGCCAATATGTCAGAGTGGCACGGGACGGGACGCTGTGTGGAAGGGGTATAGAGGACAGAGAGGGGGGGACAGGCGGGTGACACTGCACCAGCTGGTCAGTGCTGCCTGGACACCTGCCCGAACACACAGCAGAGAGGACACGCCGCGGTCCCTCAATGTCACCGGGCTTCTTCAGTGTCCGTGTGAGTGACAGCCACTTCCCCATCAGGAGATCAGAAGCAACTATGAGACTGGAGAGGAAACCAAAGCACAGCCACAGAGCTCTCAGAATAACTGCAAAAGGGGGCAGAGCTGGAGGACAAGACACCATAACACTCAAATCTAGTTTGAAAATCTCGGTAAGATCATAATGAAACAGCAAATGAGAAAGTTTTGTGCAGGGGTGTCAAAGAAAGAGCCGAACAAGGGAATTTGCTGTCTTTTGCACACTTTTGTTATGCCAAATGAGACATGTGCATTTCTCCATTGTGAGATCAATAAAGTTTTTTCTTAATTTGTGTTGAAATATAACAGGAATAGTTAACGGTATATAGGAAGATTTTACTTCCGGTGGATCATCAAGACTATTGGTCCTCCTAATCGTCAATCATTCTGGTGATACGTGCTTGTCAAATAAGACCATTCCTAAAATTTTGAAAAATCCTCCGATACCTTTAAGAGATTACGAGATTCTTTTTGCGTTCCGTGGTGGGGAGATGTCAGTGTTGCATTACCTCAGCTACCAGTTATAGTTAAAGTATTAGTTAAAGTTGAGGTAAGCATATTTTAGCGCAATTTAGACAAAACAGAAAACAAAAAGATGGCCGCTCAAATACACAGGTTTAGTCCACAGGTTTAGTCCATAGATTTAGTCCACATAGGTTTAGTCTTAAGTTGTGTCCTTGGGCAAGACACTTAACCCCACGTTGCCTGAAGCCACAGCTGAAAGAACAAGGCTGTGTCAAGAAGCCATCTTCCTGTGGACTCACCACCTGCAGAGGATCAGAGGGACTGCTGCTATGAGCATTGGGTGGCTCTAACTGTCACCCCCCGACCCAGATATGGACTAATAAAGGGGTTGAAAATGAATGAATGAATGAATGAATGGATACCAATCGACATATTCCACTCAGGGCAACAAAGTAAAATCTCGATTTTCATTAAAGTCACCGAAGACTTTGCCCTCAAAAATATGTTTTGATCTTTCCGCTCAATATTCAACTTTCAAAACTATTTTTCATTTGTTTCCCCTAATACGTGTTATAAAAGTCTTGTACGGACTGTGCTGATATTGCACATATAATTCTTGTGCTGCTGGAACTCTCACAATATCCTTCATTGGATTTCACGATTTTCACATTTTTCACTAATTGGATTATTTCAAAAGCCGATTAATTGCCTAAATTCGATTTATTGCCCCCTATTTCAACTACTCCCCTGCATTTTTATGCTAAAGTCAGACTTTTTTTTGTACTAATTCTGAAGATAGAGATTTTCATTTTTATTTTTTTTGTGTAGAGTTCATCATTCATTCATCTTGTGCTGTGTGCTTCTCATTCCTCCTGCTCTGTAACTGGTGATGCAACACTGAAATTTCCCCGCCGCGGGACAAATACAGAATCTCTTAATCTTAATAAATTACACCCACTTCTGCTTCTACACCACTGTCTCCAAATCCACTACGTTCCCTTCTACAGCCACTCCTCATGTCTCTCCGCTTGTGGACCTTTGTGCAGCCATACATATTCACATTCCCACAGATCTCTGGAATCCATAACATAAGATACGATCAAAGACGAGCCAGAGCAGCCAACTTCCTGAATCATTCCTAACACGGCGTTACATGCACCGAAGGCTTGAAAGTATCATGAACAGATTTTCTTTATGGAAAATTGAAGGGGGAGGGAGGGGAGGGAGAGGGAAGGGGGGGCTGTCTTTCACATATCATAATAACCATCTGTACAATCCAATAGCAAAGTACATGTTGGTGTGGATCATAAAGAAGGGGAACAGATGTTAATCCCTAATGGAGTTGACAGGCACTTTCCTGTCTTTCATATGAACATATTGAGTTTCGGAATAAGAGGGGGATCAGAAGGAAGGTGTATCGTGTTGCACTCATAATACATGCATATCAAAGACCCCAGCTGTTGGATTGGCTCTCCGGAGACACAGCATTATTAAATCTGCACTCGGCGAAGCACATCACAACAGGCACAAGAAGGGCTTAAGCCTCTCCATCACTGGCCCCACATCATTTGTAAGTTATCGCAGCAAAGAGATGTATAAGTGCGCGGCTAATCAGCGGGCGCACCTGAGTCTGCCGTCACTGACACACACAAAAACAGAAAAAGAACAAACAAAAAGTGCCATAAGTATGAAGTGAAGTGTGTCGTTTTGGGAAGTGGCGAGATTCATTCACGCACTCACACCCGCGCTTCACACTCGGGCTTGTCAGGTGATGATGGTGATGATGGTGGCTTCCAAAAACCTGTATACTGTATATAAGGGGCCTCTAGAGATGTATACACACACACACACACACACACACACGCACACACACACACGTATAGAGTTCCAAGTCACACGTTTAGATGTAAAGTTTGGTTACAATTAACTATTTTCTATGGACTTGACACTTGTTTTTTTTTTTACACATCTGTTGTTTTTCTACATTGAATTGCGTGAGGAGATAACAACCAAGGAGAAGGAGCGTGTAGCGTCCACTAGATGGCGATATAAATGCATTTTAGATGAGAGTTTGAGAGGGCTTGACAACACTGGCTACTGCATATAACCTTGATTTATGCAGAAACGAAAACAATATGATCACCAGCAGGCACTGAGCGGGCTAAGAATAACCTGCTTATGCACCTCAGCTGGGAGTACCTCATTTTCAACAAAAAATACCAAGTCTCATATTTGACACAGTTTTTTTCACTATAAAATACCCATACTTGTGCATTTAAAGACTGCAGGTTTTTGCGCTTAAAACTACAAAATATATAACAAAACCCTTTCAGAAAACACCTTTTTTAAATAGTTTTTGGCTCATGGGTTTCTCTCAATAACAATTTTGAAGTATTGATACCGATTTATATTGCGATAAACATAGAAAATGAACTTGAGTTAATGCCAACAATTACTGTGAGTAAAAATCACTTTTATAATTGATTAGTTCATTTGCAAAAAAAACAGTTAAAGATTTTTAGGATACAAATTGCCCTTTAACTAGACGTTTTTAGAAAAGCCAGATCAAGTTCAATGCCACACAGACAAAGTTTCACCACGTCTTGATAAAATTATTTAAAATGTACTGCCATTAACGAAACATGATGAAGTTTGTAGCCAGAAAAATACAACTTTTTGACAAATTTTGAACACTAAAATATCAGTTTATGCCAAAGAGCTTTTAAATTGTCTATTTTGAATGTATGTTGTGTGAGTATTTCTGATTTTAATGCTTTCTCTCTTGTTTTTGTGAAGCACTTTGAGTCGTTTTGTGTATGGTTCGTGCTATTCATATAAACTGGCTTTGACTTACCTAAAGTCCCAGAAAACATTGTACAATTGTAAAGGTACCTCCAGCAACTCATTCTAATAACGTAACAAACACATTAACAAAAATGCGCTATATAAATTTGATGGATTATTATTATTATTATACGCTCCATTATTGCAAAAAAAAAAAACATTTACAGCTGATTTCATATTTTTGAGCCATAAAATGAATTGATCCAGTTCTAATTCATATAAGTATAAGTAAATAAAGCACATTATTATCTTGTGCCACATCTAATATGAGTCCAGTGCGTGCATGAATGAAAGGTGGTTGGTCGGACCTCTTCAGACCTCTGAAGCTAAGCAGGGAAGGGCTGTGGTCAGTACTGTGATGGAAGACCTCTGGAAACACCAAATGGCACAGTGGGGCGGCTGTAAAACGCCGAACTGTTGTTGTGTCCTTAGGCAAAACACTTCACCCATATTGCATAGAGTATGTGTGTGAATAGTTAGTGGTGGTCAGAAGGGTTGCCTCGCTTCTGTCAATGTGCCCCAGGGCAGTTGTGGCTACAATAGTAATTTATTTTCCCATGTATTGAGAGAATGACTAATGACATGTGAAGCGTCTTTGAGTGTCCAAAAAAGCACTATATAAAACTGATTAATTTTGATCTATAGGACATTAGTAGCTTATGTCATGTTGTAAAGAAAGAGTCAGGTGGTGGTCGGATGTGGCTGATGGCACAGATTTGTAGTCTTGCTTTTTTCTGTCAGTCCCAGGGCAGCTGTGGAGGCATCAGTAGTTTACCCCAACCAATTACAGAAAGAATGAATGACGCACCTTTGAATCTCCCTAATAGTCTCATACCTGGCAACCCTATTTCTTTTCGCCACCTTCACACTTTGATTGGTTGATTTTTGAAACATGGATTGTAAAACATAAACAATTTCCATACAAGAGAAAGAGTTAATATGTGTTTGGCACTTCACCTTCAGTGTTGATTACCTGATGCAGCCTCCTTCGCCGCACCCCCGTTCACCGCGGCGGCCGACCCCGGGCTCAGACTGGCCTGGGACCTCAGGAAGGACAGGAGGCCCACTTGATGCTGCAGAGAAAGAGCCTGCCCCGGGTTCAAACTCTCCAGAGAGGCGATGGGAGACTCGCTCATGGCTCTGCCCCACTGCGCCGCCGTCTCAAGTTTCTCACTGAAACTCTGGAAACTGGCCACGTCTTGCATAAAGTTATTTTTCACCCATTTTGCAGAATTGTCACCTTCACACTCGGGTTTCTCTGCTTCCCCGTTAGAGTCGGATCGATCAACGCCGTCGGTGGCTTTGAGGTCGCTCTCGAAGGCGAAAGTTTGCAGCCTGCGCGCCATGTTAGGAGAAAGTCCATTGGCGTAAAAACCGAGGGAATCTGGCTTCACCGACAAGTCCAAAGGCTCAAACTGCGACTTCTTGGGGAGAGAAGACTCCACATCTTTGCTCATCATGGGAGGACTGTCTCCGTCGAGTCTGATGAAGGGACTCGGGGTTGAGCTGAAGTCTCTGGAGCTGGGGCACGGTTTGGGGGGGCTTGTGCTGGAGAGGTCTGGGGGGCTTTGCCAGGGAGAGAAAGGGAATCTCTCCAGTTGGAAACCCAGGGAGGCGGCATGTCCTGGGGCAAAGTCAGCGGAGGGCGGGCATCTGAAGATTTTCTCACCTGCAACGATACAAAGCTACAGTCAGAGATTTTATACTTGATTCTTGCTTCTTGATTATGATAATGTTAGAGATTTTATACTTGATTCTTTATTCTGCTAAAGCTAGAGATGTTATACTTATTTCTTTGTTATGCTAAAGTTACAGATCTTATTATAGTATAGTATATTTACTCTCAGCCCAGACCTCCAAATAGTGACACACAAGGCTCCTCACAAGAAAAAGTAATCATTATTTAAATAGCACATACCTCTTTGAGTAATTTTATATTAGAATTCAGGCAGTTGTGTCTCCTGTATTTATAGTATTTCCTGTGTTCGAACGGTTTGATTCTCTAATCTGTTGGAAGAAAATCAACAACTTTGTCCAGTCCTTTGAGACGACTGCTGTTGTTATTTAGGGATATACAAAAATTGGGATATTATATAAATTCCATATTGAATCATGTATTTTACTTATACACATTCTGACAGAAGATCGTGTAAAATGTTTAGCCATGTACCTGTATTATAATTTAAATTTACAATAAAAAAATAACATTTGTTCTGTTATTAGATTTAGTTCAATGGGAAAACTTGGAAATGGCTTGAGTCAAATCCATTGCGGGGAAATTTCAGTGTTGCATCATCCTCATTCCAACAGTAGGAATGAGGAGCACACAACACAAGATAAATTCATTGAATAATAAGTTTGGCATAATTCTCTACTATAAATATAAAACAAGAAAAATAAAAAATCTCTATCTTGGAACAGTGTATAAAAAGTAAACACATATGACGTATAATCCTGTGTATTCTACTGCAAATAAATATAAACTATCTATAAATAAATCTGTAACACACTCTGATGTAAGATTATTGAAGTAACTGTCATGGTGGGGATTATGTTATTTTGTTCCTGGGTTTTATTTTGACATCTGTTCTCTGTGGTTTGGTTTCAGCTGTACTTCCTGTCCAGTTTGCCCCTGTCTTGATTGTCTGCCCCGCCCTGATGTGTCTCTCTGTGTCTCTCTGTGTCTATTTGTCCATTGTATTGTCAACGTCTGTCCTATTCCCTTTGGATTTTTCAGTATTGAGATTTGTTTTCACCTTGGACTGTATTTTAGCATCATTAAACCATTATTTTTCCTGCATTCCTGCCTTTTGGGTCCTCTATCATTTCACCTCGGGACAGAATTCGGTGTGTTTGGGCTCAAAGTGACCTCCTGCTTCCCTGTCTCTCCGGGACGTGGAGCCGGGGAACGATGAAGAAACGTCCAGGGCTATCAACCTCAACGACTAACGCCTGAATTTCGGTTTCTTTGATTACTTTTTTTGTTTAGAGCCTGAAGGTCGTGGGTTCGATCCCACCATAAGACCTACTTCACGACTCCCACTGATGTCTGCTGTCGTTGTGTCCTTGGGCAAGACACTTAACCCCACTTTGCCTGTAGCCCCTGCTGAAAGATCTCAGCTCCTGTGGACTCACCACCTGCAGGAGGATCAGCGAGGGGCTGGTGCTCTGTGACTGGGTGCAGCTCTGACTGCCACCCCCCCAACCCAGAAATGGATTAAGGGGAAGAAAATGGATGGATGGATGGATGGATGATTACTTTTGTGGGTAAATCTTTTGTGTAGACGTCCTGGTCTGGTTGGTTTTGTCTGCCTGGATGTTCTCGCCTGTGTCTGCTGCTGCCCTTCAATGACCTCTCCTACCCTTCACCTGTTTCCACCGCCTGACATTGTTCTGTCTGGGGTGGTTCTGTTCCGTCCGAGTCAACGCCAGGCATTTATGTCTTTGTCCGGGGTGAGCCAGCTCCTTAACTCTCCAGACCCTGGACTTCCACTGGACTTCAGCTCCTGCCCCTGACCTGTTGCGGCCTCTGAACTGCCTCTGGCCCGTCCTCCAGACCCCCTCCACGGCTCCCCTTTCTTTTTGGAGGAGGGGGGGGGGGGGGGGGGGGGGGGCTACTGTCATGGTGTGGATTTTGTTATTTTGTACTTAGGTTTTATTTTGACATCTGTTCTGTGTGGTTTGGCTTTAGTTTGACTTCCTGTCCTGTCTTTATTGTCACCTGTGTCTCTGTGTCTATATGTACCATGTGCTTCTCTCCCCTTGTTGCTGGTCCATTGAATTGTCAATATCTGTCCTGTAATGTAATGTAATGTAATCTTTATTTATATACCGCCTTTTCACTGCACGGAGTCTCAAAGCGGTTTACAATTGTTATTTTTGCGAGTGGGGATGCCAGAACCTATTGTACATATTTTTAGTGGTACGAGAGAAAGGCCCTGGTCCAACCGGGATTCGAACCCAGGACCTTCTTGCTGAGAGGCGAGAGTGCTATCCACTCAGCCACCGTGCTCCTGTTTTCTTTGGATTTTTTTTTTGTTGATTTGTTTTCACCTTGGACTTTATGATCATTAAACCATTATTTTTCCTGCATTTTGGGTCCTTTATTATAATGTGTTTGTTTGGGCATCTAGATTCAAAAGTCCTATCATTTCACCTCGTGATAGTAATAAATCCTTGTTCAGGTTTGATCTGCTGCAGCTCTTTCCACTGTGTTTCATTTTCTGTTTTTTTGCATATTAAGATAATTAAATATTCCAGCTCCAGACAGATGTTTGTCAAATCAGACAAGAACAAACTGAACTGAAACAAGCTGAAGACTTTTTCTTGTAGCTTCCACATTTTACTAATAACCGTCTTGTGGTTTTGCCATGGAAACATTTATTTCATCTTCAGCGACGAAACCACAAAGAAAACAGTTTTCTCTGAGTTGTTTCTGCACCACCTTCACACTTAAACCAAAGGCAAAAAGTTATCTCAGCCGAGGTCAATGGAAAAGACAAAAGACTTGTGAAATTGACCTCAAAGAAGCAAAGTGCATGTGTGGTCTATAGTGAACATTTTCTACAGCTCAAAGTATGTACCAACAAGCTTTGTCTAAACATGAAAAATGTTGCAATCCCGCAGCCGGCTGAGTTGAATGATTTAAGTGCTGCCCCGCAGTAAATCAAGCTTGTAATCAGCTTTCAGCTCCAGTGATCCATCATTTTACAGTATGGACGCCACCACTATGTGCAATAAATACACTCAGAGATGTTAACAGCAAACCCGATTCTTCCAGAAATAATAAACAGTCAAATAGTAAAACAACTAGAACAGGGACATCTCCACGCCGAGACGCTCATTCCATCAGAGACGCAAAGTGGGTTCCCCCGTCAACCCAAACCAAATCCTACACGTGAGGGCTTCTGATTAACCGCATCACGCGCTAAAGCCGAGTTTATTTTTGCTTTAGTGTTGAAAAATGGTGTGCTGCGAGCGTAATTCAAAAAAGAACAAAGTGTATTATCGCCGAGACTGACACCGGCTAATTTTTCTCCTTTCAGCTTGTGACTAATAACCATCTGGAAGCGAGATTTGATCAGGCTCTCCATAACTTTTAATTGCAGGTAATTTCCACGTCTTCCTATGCAGCTTATCCGTTTCTCAGCCGTGATCGGAGAGGGCTTATCGGGGGTTAAATACACCCCCCCTTTTGACCATACAGCGAGCATTTGTCTTAGACCCCCAGCTCCGCACTGTCTTTAAACACACCAGCTGTTTGCCTGCCATTCCAATTACAGTAAAAGTCATCCAACGCCATTACGCCGCAAATATTGGCAGTTTATTGCCCAACACTCTCCTGGCATTTGAAGGTCAGGTCATACATTATACTGTGTCTTTTTAGGGGGTTGCGTCTGGGATGGGGAGATAAACCCAACCACCATTAATTTAATTCTGTGCATATTGATGCCTTATTGTTCTTCTTTAATGGACTAATATCTGCGTTTACAGCATGATGCATGCCCGCGCCGCAGAAATATCAATTTTATAAACCAGATCTGACCCCGAGGTAGGTCCCCAAGGTAAATCCGACTCTAATGATCCGTACTTGTTACTTTCACTTTGTTCCAGGGCGCTAATAGAAAAGCAGCCATTGTGAGCAGAATGGATACAATGAAGCCTGCATCAGTTCCATTGAGCAAAGGCGTAAAAAAAGAGTGCGTATTAATTAAATGGAGTTGAACTCGGTGAAATTGTCGAGTCAAGGTAACAAAAGTAGACAAACACCCTTGAACTGAAGATAGCCGGCCTGTTTCACTGTGTTTTTTTTACAATCTTTTACTTTACAAAGATAGATACTTTATTGATCCCCGTCTGAGAAATTAAGGTGTCCAGTAGCAGCAAAAATAAAAAACAAAATTGATCATTCAAAAAAGCTAACAATAGTAATAATCAGTAACAGCCCTTCAGGTCACAGCAGCAGAGGTGGAGTAGCCTCTGGGTGGAGCAGGACGGGTCACAGCAGCAGAAGTGGAGTAGCCTCTGGGTGGAGCAGGACGGGTCACAGCAGCAGAGGTGGAGTAGCCTCTGGGTGGAGCAGGACGGGTCACAGCAGCAGAGGTGGAGTAGCCTCTGGGTGGAGCAGGACGGGTCACAGCAGCAGAGGTGGAGTAGCCTCTGGGTGGAGCAGTACGGGTCACAGCAGCAGAGGTGGAGTAGCCTCTGGGTGGAGCAGGACAAGTCACAGCAGCAGAGGTGGAGTAGTCTCTGGGTGGAGCAGGACGGGTCACAGCAGCAGAGGTGGAGTAGCCTCTGGGTGGAGCAGGACGGGTCACAGCAGCAGAGGTGGAGTAGCCTCTGGGTGGAGCAGTACGGGTCACAGCAGCAGAGGTGGAGTAGCCTCTGGGTGGAGCAGGACAGGTCACAGCAGCAGAGGTGGAGTAGTCTCTGGGTGGAGCAGGACGGGTCACAGCAGCAGAGGTGGAGTAGCCTCTGGGTGGAGCAGGACGGGTCACAGCAGCAGAGGTGGAGTAGCCTCTGGGTGGAGCAGTACGGGTCACAGCAGCAGAGGTGGAGTAGCCTCTGGGTGGAGCAGGACGGGTCACAGCAGCAGAGGTGGAGTAGCTACAGGGGTCTCCAACCTGTAGCTCGGGAGCCACCAGTAGCTCGCCACCCCCGTCCCAGTAG